GGCTGGATTTGAACCCTCCACCTTAGGTGTATGTGGCTGGTGCCTTAGCCACTTGAGCCACAGGCACCGAGCCACTTTTACCTTCTTATTAAAAATTTGCTTTCAGGTTTGGTGCCCATAGTACAGTGGTTACAGTGCTAACCACATACATGGAGGCTGGCAGATTAGAACCAGGCCTGGACCAGATGAACAACAATAAACATAGCCAGGCATTGTGGCAGGCGCCTGTAGTCCCACATAATTGGGCGGCCAACCTAAGACAATTGCTTAAGCCCATGAGTTGGAGGTTGCTGTGAGCTGTGACACCGAGCACTCTACAGAGGGCAACATAGTGAGACTGTGTCTAAAAAAAAAAAAAAAGGCAACAAAAATTTGCTTTCAGGCCAGGCATGGTGGCTCATACCTGTGATACGACTAGCACTCTGGGAAGTAGAGGCAGAAGGATAACTTGAGCTCAAGAGTTTGAAAACAGGCTGGGCAAAGTGGCTCATGCCTGTAATTCTAACACTCTGGCAGATTGCTTGAGCTCACGATTTTGAGACTAGCCTGAGCAAGAGTGATACTACCTTTCTACCAAAATACAGAAAAAACTAGCAGGGTGTTGTGGTACATGCCTGTAGTCCTAACTACTTGGGAGGTTGAGCTATGAAGATTACTTGAGCCAAGGAGTTTGAGGTTGCTATGACCTGTGACTTCATAGCACTCTAGAAGGTTCTACTATATATAAGGGATGCTGTATAGCAAACTGAGACTAAGCCTGAGTTTCACCTTAATTGCAGAGTGTAAGTGTCTCAAAAAACAAACAAAACTGGTTTCTCCTGTATAACATCACACCTACCAAAATAATTCATCACCTGAAATAAAAGTGTTGCATAAAGACAAACCAAAAATCAAAAGAAGATAGGTTCTTAACACTAGTGACAATTTTCTATAACATAATATAGATGCTTATTCCTGATTAGAAAGGATAAGAAAGATGTGTCTGGCTCGGTGCCTGCAGCTCAAGCGGCTAAAGCACCAGCCACATATACCTGAGCTAGTGGGTTCGAATCCAGCCCGGGCCTGCTAAACAACATTGACAACTACAACCAAAAAATAACTGGGTGTTGCGGTGGGCGCCTGTAGTACCAGTTACTTGGGAGGCTGAGGAAAAAGAATTGCTTAAGCCCACTCAGAGGTTGCTGTGATCTGTTATGCCACAGCACTCTACCCAGGGCAACAGCTTGAGGCTCTGGCTATAATCAGGAAGACCCAGGAATGGGCCAGGCACAGTGGCTCATGCCTATAATCCTAACACTCTGGGAGGCCGAGGTGAGTGGATTGCCAGAGTTCAGGATTTGAGACCAGCCTCAGTCAGAGCGAAACCTCATCTCTAAAAATAGTTGGACATTACTCTTCATAGCAAAGCATCTCAAGAATGGAAGAAAAAGGCTCGGTGCCTGTGGCTCAAGTGGCTAAGGCGTCAGCCACGTACACCTAAGGTGGCAGGTTTGAATCCAGCCTGGGCCCGCCAAACAACAATGATGGCTGCAACAACAACAACAAAATAGCCAGGTGTTGTGGCAGGAACCTGTGGTCCCAGCTGCTTGTGAGGCGGAGGCAGGAGACTCGCTTGAGCCCAGGAGTTGGAGGTTGCTGTGAGCTGTGATGCCATAGCACTCTACCCAGGGGGACAGCTTGAGGCTCTGCCTCAAAAAAAAAAAAAAAAAAAAAGAATGGAAGAAAAAGTGTACAATGTACTCAGTCCTACTATGAAATCAATTTATAGGTTTCATATGAAAGCTATAACCCATCTATAGCCCAAGAAGATGGGGAAAGAGGAGAGGGTGGGGAGGGGTGAAGATGGGTGGAGGGTAATTGCTGGGAACACAGCTACAGTGCATTTTACAAGGGTACATGTTAAATTTACTAAGTGTAGAGTATAAACATCTTAACACAGTAACTAAGAAAATGCAGTGAAGGCTATGTTAACCAGTTTGATGAAAATATTTCAAATGGTATATAAAACCAGCACATTGTACCCCATGCTCGCATTAACATACACAGCTATGACTTAATAATAATAAAAAATATATATTTGGACATTGTGGTGGGCGCCTGTAGTCCCAGATACTTGGGAGGCCGAGGCAAGACAATCACTTGAGCCCAAGTGTTTGAGATTGCTGTGAGCTGTGTTGCCACAACACTCTACTGACGGTGACAAAGAGACTATTTCCAAAAAACAAAAAAAGACACATGAATGAAAGAAAGTTCTTCTATTAAAATCTCATCATAGGTTTTACTAGAAGCCTGTGGCTCAGTGAGTGGGGTGTTGGCCCCATATACCAAGGGTGGCGGATTTGAACCCAGCCCCAGCCAAACTGCAACAAAAAAATATTGGGTGTCGTGGCAGACGCCTGTAGCCCCAGCCACTCAAGAGGCTGAGGCAAGAGAATCACCTAAGCTGAAGAGCTGGAGGTTACTGTGAGCTGTGACGCCATGGCACTCTACCGAGGGCAACAAAGTGAGACTCTGTCTCTAAAATAAAATAAAATAAAATCTCATCATTTGAGTGTTAAGGGATGTATAGCAAACTGAGACTAAGCCTGAGTTTCACCTTAATTGCAGACAAGGGATAGGTTATAGGCATTCCAACTGTAATTTAGAGATAATTATTTCTCTTGCCAAGTGACCAAAGGCTTAAAATAACTTGTAGCAAAGAGGAATGACTTAGAAAGAAAGTTGAGTATCACAGCAGTTGAAGTGGAAAAGGAATGCCTCTATTATGAGGCTAGTGCAGAGAAAGAGTCTGACAATTATTCTTTCTTTCTCTCTACAGACTTTCCTACTACTCCTTCCCTACCCTTACAGCCCCTCCTTCCAAGTCTTTGTAATAACTAAGGTATAGAAACTAGTAGGACAGTGCCACCTCTGACCACTGGCCAATAACAAAGCATGCAGGTATCTGAAATGACTCAGTTATACCAAAAGAGACTGCTTCAACCACAATTTGGCAAAAGTACTCCAAGCTAGTAAGAAGCAAACAAAAGGGCT